AGCTCACAGCAACCTCCAACTCCTGGGCTCAAGCAAGTCTCCTGCCTCCACCTCCCAAGTAGCTGGGACCACAGGCGCCCGCCACAATGCCTGGCTATTTTTTTTTGGTTGCAGCCATCATTGTTTGGTGGCCCGGGCTGGATTTGAACCCACCACCTTAGGTGTATGTGGCTGGCTCCTTAGCCACTTGAGCCACAGGTGCCGAGCCAGTCTCCTCATATCTTAAGGAGTCTAACTCTGGCTAGAGAGTTGTTAATTGGGGGCCAGCTGATGGGTACTCCAGAGTCTGGGATTTGTTGCACGGTGGAGTCAACATGATCCTGAGTACCTCCCTTAATGCTGCAGCTTTCAGATATCTCACATAGCCAGTGATTGTGAAAATGAAATGGGGCTGGGCAGTTGGCAATGGGCTGATTTCTAATTAAGATGCCAATGTATTGGGCAGCACCTGTAGCTCAGTGAGTAGGGCGCCAGCCCCATATACCGAGGGTGACAGGTTCGGATCCAGCCCCGGCCAAACTGCAAAAAAAAAAAAAAAAAAGATGCTAGCGTATTAACTGGAGTGAAGAACAAACCTGCCAAATACACTACATAGTGGGATTCTATAGTGAGCACATTCTCTCCTTTTGGGAAATCTTTTTAAGAGTCATCATTTGGTAGCTGCTTGGAAAGCTTTGTATCAGAGCCAGGAAATCAGGGACAGGGGCAGGAAGCTATGACCATCTGGAGCTCTGAATTCCACTGCAGAGATGGGTTAACTGTATCTTACTGGCCAGCCACAACTCCTCGCCTGGACAACACTGGAGACAGTGATCCCTCATGGCACAGGAACTTCCTTTCTCCAGGCTACAAGAGGACCAACTACTTCCACCCACATAGACCTTCTTCCTTCTTCCTTCTTCTTCCTTCTTCTTCTTTCTTCTTCTTTCTTCTTTCTTCTTCTTTCGGTTCAGTTGGTGAGGGTTTTAGCATTTTATAATCCTGGGTGTCTGTCCCAGGGTCTGTCCATTCCCCTAGATAGAGTTTAGACATTAGTTTTAGAGTTTAGTGAATCCCCAAACTCTGCATCCATGGATTATAGACTCCCTGCTCATCTCCACAGGAAATATCTCATCCATGATGTGGTTTTATCATCACAGTGGCTTTCCTATCATTTCCAAGGCTTAGGTTTTCCTCAGAGATCCCTTGGGGGAAGGGGCCACTGGAGAAGAGGGCAGTGAGTCAAGTTAACAGAACTGCCAATCTTTAGTCCTCTTCTATTGTGGCAGCAGCTCATGTTTGGAGCATGTGGCTACCGAGTACCTTAAATGTGACTAATGGAATTTTAAAACTAAAAATAAAAGCATCAAAAAAAAAAAACCCTCACATTATGAAAATTGTTTCAAAGTGTAAAAAAGCATAGGAATAAGCTATTTTAGAAACAATATAACAGGGAAGAGGCTGAAAATATGGTATAGAAATCAGAGGGCAAGATAGAGAAGTGTGAACAAAGAAAGGAAGATGGCAGCTATGGGAGTGAAAGGAAAACCAACACATCCATAATTGGGATCTTGAAGAAGAGTACCAAAGAAATGGAACATAATATTTAAAGATACATCAAGAAAATACTGGCTCGGCGCCTGTGGCTCAAGCAGCTAAGGCGCCAGCCATGTACACCTAAGGTGGCGGGTCTGAATCCAGCCCGGGCCCCCCAAACAACAATGATGGCTGCAACAAAAAAATGGCTGGACGTTGTGGCGGGTGCCTGTGGTCCCAGCTACTTGGGAGGCGGAGGCAGGAGACTCGCTTGAGCCCAGGAGTTGGAGGTTGCTGTGAGCTGTGATGCCATGGCACTCTACCCAGGGGGATAGCTTGAGGCTCTGTCTAAAAAAATAAAAAGAAAAAAAAAGAAAATACTGAAGAAATAAGAGATGAATTTACATAAAGTATGCAGTGTCTCAGGTGACCCAATGAAAAAGAATAATCAATGAGACATAACCTAGTGAAGTTATCTGATTTCAAAGATAATTAAAAAGCCTATGACTACCCAGACAAAAAGCTGGTGGTGTTGTGGGGGTGGGGGGCACATGCAGTTGACCCTTGAACAACACAAGTTTGAACTGCCCAGGTCCACTTATACTTGGTATTTTCTTTCATCTCTGCCACCCACAACAGCAAGACCAACCCCACCGCCAGCCTACTCAGTCTGAAGACAGTGAGGATAATGACCTTTGTAATGATGCACTTTCATTTAATGAATAGTGAAATATATTCTCTATTTCTTACAATTTTCTCAATAACATTTTCTTTTCTCTAGCTTCATTGCAAGAATACAGTTCATAATATATGTACAAAATATGTGTGAATTGACTGCTTATGTCATTGGTAAGGGTTCTGGTCAACAATAGGCTATCAGTAGTTAAATTTGGGGGGAGTTAAAGGTTATATATAGATTTTTGACTGTGCAGGGCTGGCACCCCAACCTCCATGTTGTCCAAGGGTCAAATGT